TCCACAGCGCACCGAACGCGCCGCTTGCCGCCAGTCATTGTGCGTCGTCACGGCAAAGGAGGCAGGGAAGTCAAGAGCGAAAGAGGAGCATGGGATCCGTCCTCCACGGCGACGTGGTAGGGCGTGTGCTAGAAGGGGAGGGGAGCAGTGCGCTGAGAATGACGCAGTACTCGTATGTGTCTCATCAACGCACCTTTATCCTGTTCTCCCACTCAGCTCAACCAATGCCAGCCTCCTCCACTACGAGTCATGGTCAACACGAGCACGAGGATGATCAGGTCGATAAATGGAGTGGACCAGAATCCCCTCCATGCATTACTCTATACAAAGTGCAGGCATGAGCGGTGGCCGTAACTCGGAGATGGTCTATAGTCGCACAACCCGTCCGTGAAATCCTCCTATAAAGAACTGCCAGTCTCCGACTGGCATCGTCTCGCTGGCTGGCTCGGCGGGACCTGCACGGCGGCCTGTCAGTGGCTTCGTGGCACTGATGGGGCGTAGGATGGTAGGGCCAAGACAAAAAAAAAAAGGGAGGCGAGAGGGGCGAGCGGAAGGCCAAAGGAGGTGCCACGTCTATCTGGGCGTCTGGGCTGCTCGGACGACGCGTCTGCGGCACAGGGACGGTGTGCTCGGCACACTCCGGTGAGTGAATCCCGGGGGGAACAGACAAGGCCACCGGTGATGACAACACGGTAGCAACGTGGGCACACAGGATGCACGTGTGGGCGCAGCGTCGTGATCCGGCATATAGACAGTGGAGGCCCACACGCTCTCCCACGCAACGCATCTGTCTGCGTAGTGGGGCATCATTGACAAGTTGGTCCCGCACTTGGGGTAGTCTCTTTGACATCTCTGGAGACAGATACAACTCCTCACCAATGTGAACGTCCCGGGCTACCCAAGCCCCGCCCCAATAGGAATCCTACGAATAATAAGATGGTGTCGCTGTGTGTAGTGGTTCGAGTGGTGAGGGATGTGAAGTGTTGAGTGTGAAGTGTGTGAAGTCCTTGGTGAACCTGCGTGGTCGCAAAGCCTTGTGTAGTAGTGTGTGGTCTCGTAGCTCTCGTTATACTCACACCTTGACTTGCATTGGCACAGAGACTTACACTTCCAGTCATACTACTCAACGGCCAATTGACTACTGTAGCATGGTCAAAATAATCTCTTTTTTCTCTTATTTTTATTGGTTATATTATGCGAATCGAAAGTGATACCGCCACGATAGTAGAGGATCGATATCTGGTCCCATGAACGTTACCAGTGACGAAAAGGTGAAATACATTCAGCTAAGGGAGTCATAACATCCTGTTTCAGTCCTAATGTTGCTCCAGATTGGGTCAATTTGATGGTGGTCTGGAAGGGCTCATTGGGTACAGCTCAATCCTCCTGACCTCCTGGACCAGTCGACACTTCGCGAGGCTCACTGTTCTGACCAGCTAGTCTCTCACCATAGTTAATCCAGCTTCCTCTCATAGCAAAAACTAGTTTCACCCACAGTAAGGGCACCAACCCTGGTGGATGAGAACCACTTCAGATTTGTTACATAGGAATAAGCGGAATGAACCAGGAATAAATGGCCATAATAAAAATGTGCTATTTAAAAACATAATGAGGTGCTACCATAACAGCCTAAGGCTAATTAATAATAAACAAAGAAGCAACTACATGTGTATGTTGTCTATTCCTTGTGCATCATCTAATATTAAATGGAGATTTCTGGACATTTATCCTTCTCGAATTAATTCAGCATCACGGTTGAAGATTTGCGAATAGATTATTCATTATATTCACAAACATTTAATCCTGTTAATATACCATCTGTCTGTAACTCTACTTATATAATTAACACTCTGATAATTTTGAATTTACCTATTGCACGAAAATCTATCTAATCCTCAGTATTGTCCTCAGACTCATCAAAATATCAATTATGGTCACAGGTGGCCTAACTCTTTTCCTAGGAGCTACTGAGTTCCTAATCAACTTTTCTTTAAATACACTTACTTCATTTTTACTATGACACCATTGTTGTGCTCGCTTCGTCGATACCTGTGAGTAAAGTCAAGAACACAAATATTGTTGGTTATAAAATAAAAAATAAATAAAAAATAATAATTATAATAACTTATATCAATATACGAATATATGATCTAACATAACAAATGACTTTCAATAAAAAAATTCCTCTCCCTGCCAAAAGAGCAAGTCCAACACAACTCACCGCCCTATTCTCCAGATCAATCTTGTTACCCAGGACAACAAATGGGAAGTGGTCAGGGTCCCTTGGTGAGGCTTGAATTAGAAACTCGTCACGCCATGAATCGAGAGACTTGAAGGTATTGGGAGATGTAACATCATAGACGAGAACACAACAATCAGCTCCTCGATAGAATGCAACACCTAACGATTGAAATCTTTCTTGACCAGCTGTATCCCAGATCTAAAATAAAAATGAGAGGCTGTACTGAGTCTATCTATGATACTTGTTTGGTTTATTTCATTAACTCATGAATATTAGTCTTATTGATAAACAGTTATGAGAAAAAATTCATATCACTATATCTATTTGAAGTATACCACTTTTGGCAATGCAAGGTTTCAGATTCTAATTATTACCTCCAGCAATGAAGGTCTTTTTCATCAGTAGATAAGAATTAAAGGCATTGGTATGGGGAAAAAAAGGAGTCTAGATAACAACTTGGGTGTTGTATCTATACAAAGTAATAAAAGAACAGGGAAAATTGTAATGCATGAGGATATAAAGCAATATTTACAGTCTGAAGCCTAATGGTATGCTTTCAAAGACTTTTCACTTACCTGCATGGTAACCAATCTGTCATCAACCATGACCTCCTTTGTGAGGAAATCTGCTCCAATGGTTGCCTTATACTGGTTGCTGAATTTCTTGTTAACAAACTGGTTCATAAGGGATGTTTTGCCTACACCTGAGTCTCCAAGGATGATCACCTTCAGGAGAATCTTCTTGCGAGATGCCATGATGTATTCTAAAATAGAGTGAAACTTTAAGTTTTCATACTTTTCTTTTAATTCTCTCTCTCTCTCTCTCTCTCTCTCTTTTTTTTTTTTTTTTTTTTTTTGATAAACTACTAAGATCCACACAAAACAAAAAATAACCAGTGAACAGCAGTAAAGAACAATGAAAAAAATTAAAACAGAAATGACCAAGAAACAAAACTGGACACAGTTGCAGTCGAGAATGAAGTTCTTTAATTATGATCGGATTTTCACGATCTTTTAATGCTATATATACATATCTTACGATTTACACCACCATGTTTCATATCATTTAGATAATAAATAATGAAGTTATTTAAAAAGATTTTTTTTTTTTTTTTTATAAATCTCACTTATCCATTTTTTTTTAAATCAAAAATCTATAGCAATACCCAAATTTGACATGATTCGAATTTTGAAATTTCCTCTTAGTTTAGTGGATTTTTTTTTAATGTTCATTGTTATGAATATAAAATATAACATGGGTTTTTATCACCTGAAATCACATTGTCACGAAAATCGCAAATCGCAAATTTATTCAACTTTCAAATGATCCAAACCCCATTAGAATCGCCCAAGTAGTTATGGAGAGATAAAAAATTTTGATAAATGTGTAGTTTTCATATATCAGGCTTTGAAATCAAAGAATTCTGATATCTGCATCAATCTTGATGTATTCTATGGCATTTACATGGTATTCTGAAGTGTAGCTGGTACCTGGCCCCCCTGTTTTGCAAGGTACTAATGATAATAACTACACATTGTAGAAGTACACATGTCATCAAAGGCTTCGCAGTGCCTTTACAGTACCTCATGAGGCATTTCATACGAACAAACAACTGCTGCAGCTGTGTTTGAAATATATTTCTCATCATGTTATGTTTATTAGTTACAGGAATAACATCTATCATTAGTAGTGTCCTATACTAATGGGGACACTAGAGATTTAGACAATTCTCTTATCTTTATGTATTTAGCAGAAACATTACATCATGAGATTACCAAAGCCTCCAGTGTTAAGGATTTACACCACCATGTTTCATATCACTCACTTATCCATTTTTTTTAAATCAAAATCTATAGCAATACCCAAATTTGACATGATTCGAATTTTGAAATTTCCTCTTAGTTTAGTGGATTTTTTTAATGTCATTGCATGGTTTTTATCACCTGAAATCACATTGTCACGAAAATCGCAAATCGCAAATTTATTCAACTTTCAAATGATCCAAACCCCATTAGAATCGCCCAAGTAGTTATGGAGAGATAAAAAATTTTGATAAATGTGTAGTTTTCATATATCAGGCTTTGAAATCAAAGAATTCTGATATCTGCATCAATCTTGATGTATTCTATGGCATTTACATGGTATTCTGAAGTGTAGCTGGTACCTGGCCCCCCTGTTTTGCAAGGTACTAATGATAATAACTACACATTGTAGAAGTACACATGTCATCAAAGGCTTCGCAGTGCCTTTACAGTACCTCATGAGGCATTTCATACGAACAAACAACTGCTGCAGCTGTGTTTGAAATATATTTCTCATCATGTTATGTTTATTAGTTACAGGAATAACATCTATCATTAGTAGTGTCCTATACTAATGGGGACACTAGAGATTTAGACAATTCTCTTATCTTTATGTATTTAGCAGAAACATTACATCATGAGATTACCAAAGCCTCCTAGATTACAGTTTTTCAAATTTTTGAGTATTTTTAAAAACATTAGTTGAAAATTCATTGCAATGGCCCCCTTAAGTGGCTATGAAGAAGGAATCGACATAAGTAACCATCCTAGTTTGATATCTGAGCCCGTTTAGTGCCCTGATATCAAAAGAAAGAACAAAATATAAAGAAACAATTCAGACAATTGACAGATTGTAAAACAACATCAGTGTTTTCGTCCTCCAAAGGTATGTATTATTATAAGGCATGGATATGGGGATTCTATGGCAAGAATGTCCTGTATAAATATCAAAAGGCTAGGTTAGGTTAGGTATGGTGTTTAATGACCATGGGGGTACAGGGGTATGACCTAGCTCCTAACTAAGCGCATGCTCACAGCGGTCCCGAGTGCAAAGCCCCATCATGGGATTAAATGGTAAGAATGTATTTCATGGTTAAACTGGAGGATATCAATGTGCACTATATCATAAAGAAAAATAAATATTCCAGTTCTATATGATTTAATCAACACCATGAAGAGCAAAAAAATGAGTACACTCACACAATGTAGTTTATAAGAAGCATTTAAACATCTTTGGCAAAGAACTTTTTTTTTAAGTCACTCTACATGTTTACTTCAGTCTTGAATAGTAAACTGACCACAACTCATTACTGTGACATGTCAATTAGTTTGTGTGTTCACTATGCCCTTGTGAAATTAGTTTTTTCCTATTTGTTCCCATCTACTCCAATTATATTTACTATATGGTAATACAGCGATTGGGATAGGGGTTCGGGGGTGGTGTCCCTAGGTTAGGAAGGTTCACACACATGCACCATTTGAAATCTCAATATATCTAGTATACATATATTTCTCTTAAAAAAAAAGAATTTTTTACCGGTATATTTTGTGCTGAACATGATCTTGGCTCTGAACCTTTTTAACCGCTTGCCACCAGGTGGCATGTATGTATATGCCAGGGCCGTTGTGGACAGAAAAATGGATGACATTGTATCATGACCATTCCTGCTCATCGAAGTTTGTTTTTCTCCAATAGTAGTGGCTTCATATATATGGTAAAGCTTTTAGGCAATAGCACCTAATGTGAAGGTAAACCTTCAAATTTATGAAATTATTATAAATTATAGCAAAATAATTGATATTGGGTGCCGAATGTCACTTGCAAACTACCAAACGAGCTGCGGTCAAATGGGAAATAAGGCACTGGGTTAAGCTAGTTTAGTGAAATGTTTTGAAACTTATTTTGCATAATTTTGCATAAGTCATCATGTTGTGTTCTGTGAACCTGTCAACTATGTGAAGTATGGAAATAAGAGCAGAATTGATTGATTGTACATGATGCATTTCCCGGAGCCAAACAAGTGTTCCCTCTAGTTCCTCTTTGACAGAAGTTAAGCTTTATCCTCCATTTGTTTAACCCTTTGTCTGAGGGAGGCATGTATGTACATGCCATGACTAGTGTGGACAAAGTAGTGGGTGGCATCATGTCAGGACTATTCCCATGCTGTTGACTCATCGGACGGATTCTTTTTATCTGATAGTTGTGGAATCATTTCTACTGTAAAAGGCAATAGCAACATAAGTGAAATTAAATCTTCAGAATTTAAATCATTCTAAAAAACTATATCAAAATACAAGCTTTCAGGTGCCTTATGTTGCTCACAAACTACTGAATGAGCCGGGCACAAAAACGAAACTGTCAACTCACCAATTCCATGATCATAACAATTTGTTTCACTTTTTTACCTAGCATTACTGGGTTTAACCAACTTGCACTGGGTGTCACACATTTGTGACACCCAAATAAATAAACATTGCCGCTAGATCAGTGCTCACATTCTGATTCTGTCGCCCATGGAGGGCGGTACGTAGACAGGTTCCTGGACTGGCCCGTGTGCCGATTTTGATACTGCCCAGAAATCAGGTTTATCTGCTTCCAAATGGGAAGAACTGGTTGGAGACTAGAATGGTATATTGTTTTATAATTATTGTACTGAGACTACACGGGTACAGGCAGCAAAGACAACAATAGGGAAACATGGTGATTGGGAAGGGTTCCGAGACATAGCTCCCAATTGAATAATATGGCTTGTGGGGGCTAGGAAAGGTTTTTGGTTGACATTGATACACTATTCAAAATTACACAATATCTACAGTACACATCTCTCTCATAGAAATTACCATTTTTCAGGGGAAAATTGACATGTTTATCCTTGAATCGCCTATCTTATAAATGATTTACCTTTACCGTATAGATGCACTAAGATAGTATAGCCAAAAATGAAAACAATGTTTCCTCTCCAGACCTGGCTTGGAGAGATCATGCCCTTCTTGCCTTGAGAGGTGGCCCACATTCAACCAGGACAGGATGATTCGAATGTGAGGAGGGGAATTATGGGAATCAGGCAAAGAAGTCAATAATGAGAAACATACATGCAGAGAGAGAGAGAGAGGGAGCGCTTTAATTCCTGTTTAGTTATTAATTTGATGGATATATTTGAGACCTACTTTAACCCGTTACTGCCAGTATATTTTGAAGCTGAAAAAAAAGTTTCTGGGCAGCTACAAAATCGGTGCACGGGGCTGGCCCAGACTCTGCCCAAGCAATGGCCACTGCTCGCTGGTGAGTCGGAGCACGAGTACCAATACAGCCTCAATTTTTTTTTTTCTGGGCGTCTCATAGGTGGGACACCCATCATAAGTGGGTTAAGAAATAAGGTATAGTATATTTTGAAAATGATCATCATATAATCTTATCACATTTTAAAAAGGACAAGAAGTTGCAGTCCTTGATATGAAAAATAATCTGCAGACATGAATTGGAACACCACAAATAAAGGAAAGCACCGCTCTCAGCCTGAGATCAGGCTCTATCTAGCTGTGCATATTTACATGAAAATAATGTTTGGGTTAATCTTTATAGTATAGCACTAAGCTAGGGAAATTTAATATATCTTTGTAGAGGATAAAAAGTTGCAGTCCTCAGGACAAGAAATAATCTGCAGGCATGAATGAGTACAACACAAAGGCAAAATAACACAGAAAATGCTGCTCTCAGCTAAAGTCCAGTCAGTGCTCCAGAGTTTCGCTTCTATTATGTTGAGCTTACTGTGGTGAAGACCAAGCATCAGGCAGTACCCGAAGGGCATGTCCTGTCAGGTCAACTTAGATTCTTGAATGAATTTTGTAATGTGCGGTAGGGGGACTTAGGTCTCTGGCGAGGGCATCCATACAACTAAAAAATTTATAAATTGTGTTTGTTGAAACTCTACAGGAATGGGAGGCATGTTTCACCTATATAAGTACTGTCTGCAATTGTGCGGT